CATGCAGGAATAAAAAAGCTGTATGAGGAAAGAAAAGACTGCGTGTTTGTCCGTGCAGCCTCATGCAGAGGATTTTAGACGAGGGAGGTCTGACTTCCTCGGCATGGATCGGCTCGGCTCACTCTTGGTTATGATCTCTATTCCGTTTTCAGATAGTTCCAACTCAGTGTAGGCGGGATTATTAGCTGATCGTCGTATATGGATCCTTTCATATGCAACCAAACAGAGGAACGTCTGGATTTTGTCAATTGCATGGCGTAGTTTTGTGTTTTTAAATGTGGGTCGAATGAATGAACAAATATCGACGGTAAATACCTTGGCTATTTAAAACTGGTGTGTTTGTGCAGGGTTATCCCGCGTCGCGCTAGAAATTCCACCTTCTAGTATCGACTCAGCTCGCTTGGAACCTCGACCGAGATGGCACCAAAAAAAGTAATAGGTGCTATCCACAACCTTTGCCGATTGAAAAGCAAAACAAAAGAGCGAGGCGAGTTGAGTAGAGCCGTGCTGTGGAAATGCGAATCAGGAAGATAAATTAAACGAGTACACACTCAACAAGCAAAAAGGAAAAGCAAACATGCCGCTGGAGAAGTTTTACTTCTTTAATGTTGCTTGTTTTTCACTTTTAAGTTCTCCTCTGTTTCCATTTCTTCCTCTTGCCTACTCTCAGAGTTTAAAAAGACCAAATATTGGAGTAAAATTAATCTGAGCAAAATGCATGCCCCTGAAAAAACAGATTAACAATTAAAGCTCTTGGTGGAGACGGCCTTTGAAGTTCAATGGCGGGAAGTCATGAACTGCGAGTAGCCCGATATATATATATATATATATATATATGTTCAGTGGCCCGCTGGCGCCTCATTCAGACTTACTTCTCCTCTGGTCTTCGGGTCTTTCTCTTCTCCTCCCTGTTTTTTTGGCAGCAGGCAACAGCCGTAATAACTGCTGACTACTGCATCATCAAGTCTTTTAATCCTTGGATCTTTATAATCCTTTGAAGGAGATGCTGTGAAACTCACAGAGCAGTTACGATGTGATGTCAGCGCTGACATATTGCAGAGGTGCTTAATGCTATTATTACACTAGATAATGCACGGACATTTTTTTTTACTGATTCCGGACAAATTACTGCGCTTCAAATAGGAATCACATCAAAGATCCCTCCAGTTGGCTCCCCATGCAGCACAAAACAGAAACACACATATTCCCCCACAGTGGTGACGGTTGTTCAGCTTGAGAGTTGGACTAATGGACTTATCAAAGCGAGCCCCCTGACCTCCTGGATGAGTGAGGGGGGAGGCCATGATGTTTCTCATGCCGCTGAACTGAGTGAACCTGAACGACGACGGAACACACACCCAAACCTAAAGGAGAGCCGAGCGGACCCCCGATATATACCCCCCCCCCACCCACACACACACACACACACACTCCCCTGGTGTTAAACAAGCTGCACTTCAACACAGACCGCAGACTGACATGAGAGAGAGACGCCTAAGCTCCAGAGAAAAAAGTGGCAGAAGAGAAGGAGAAGTGCGTTGGTGGGAGTTTGATTGACATGAGCGTCAAGCGGTGTGAGATCTGCGCAGGAAAAGGAGACGGGAAGAGGAAATAGATCAACGAGCAATGGAGCGGGAGAATGACGCAGGCCGCCGTTCTTCCCATTATCAACTACCACACAAATCCTCCCAATGCAGGTTCCCAAGGAAAAGAGAGGCAACGGAAAAAAAGCATTGCCTGTGGCAGCAATAAGCTACACTAAATGATATGATATCTGTGTGTGTGTGTGTGTGTGTGTGTGTGCATTTTATGAGAAGCTCAGCAACTCTGACAACCCCTCGACATCTCTCACCCTCCCTTTAGTGTGTGAGAGTTGTGTCGACACAGATGTAAACTGAACATCACACCTTGCACATTTTTGTTTTTCTCATACTTTTCTTCACAACCTCCATCTCACCGGAGACGTCTTCTCACACTCGACTGTTTTATTTGACGACGAAGAAGAAAAAGAAAAGAAGACAGGATCACGGGAGGACAGAGAGAGGTGTGTGTGTGTGTGTGTGTGTGTGTTGATTTTCTGCTGACTAAACTGACAGGGAAATCAGTCCTTATTATTGAATATTAATATATATAATTATCGCCTCACGGTTTTATGCCTCCGTCAACCAGTCAAGTTATACTTTACATCCACTTCTGTCCAAAATGTCACCACTTCATCATGTTATCCTTAGACGTTTGTGTGAAATTGCAATAATTTGAGTTATGGGGAAAAGTGTGTTTTGTAAAGATAAAGTGATCTTTCACCATTACGTTTTCAGTCAAACCTTGAGTCCAGGTGGACATTTGTGCCAAATTGGAAGAAATACCCTGCGGGCGTTCCTGAGAAACGACGCTCACAAGAAACGGGCCGAACGAACAAACGAATAGACGGACGGACGGACGGACAACCTGAAAACATGACGCCTTCAGCCTCTGCTGTCGCCGGCGCAGAAAGAAGCCATTCAATAACAATATGTGCTGTGGGACGGATGGGTGAGTTGGGTCTCAGTGAAGCCAGCAAAGAATATAAAAGGCAGAGACGGAGCAAAATGTTCCTGAAGCAATGAATAATACATCATCCCAGTTTGAAAAGGTTGCCTCCACCTCGAGCTCATCCTTTAAACCTGTGAGTTACTCTCTGACTGAATGCAGCCTGAACAACACAGCGCTGACTTCCCTTCTGAACGGCTTCCTCCGAGCTCATGATGAATCTGAGCAGATAGATGACGGATGGTGACGCCTCCATTACTGGCCAATGGATCCACATTTTTCACCCTAATGAAACACGCTCTCTGGAGTCCAGACTAAATATTTAATGGCCTCTCGCGGCGCCCTTGAACAAACCCTTGAACAAAGACAAAGGGACACCCCACTTTTCTTCTCATCCTTTTCTTTCATTCCTTCATCTCTGTCTTCGAGTCTTTCCTTTTCCCCAGAGAAGGAAAAAGGACAAACCGAAACAAGAGCGGACATCTCTAAGGACTCTATTTTCCTGAGCAGCGCTCCGTTTTTAGCCTGAGAGGAAGTGAAGGTGCGAGGAAAGCGATGCCATTTATGATGCCGGGATTTTAGCACCAATTTCCCGGGAGCCGTTCTCACGGAGATGCTGTTGCACGCTTGGTTGGACAATAACATGTAAAAATGCAAGCAAAAAAAAAAAAGAAAGACGTGTTGCCATCTCCTGTGGAGGAGTAAAAGTCCATGTGAGGCGAGGAATGAACCAATTCACTGGCTATAGTGCGTGGGGCTAATGAGATTCAGTGAGAGAGCCGAGGCTGTAACGCGAGGTCAGATGTTATATTACTTCTTCTCCACGGGGCTGATGGGATGAGTGGTACAATTCAGTGCTTCTCAACGCTGGGTCCCTCTGATGGTATTCTAATGTGCCATGTCGCTAACTGCATTCACTGTGCTCTCCCAGGTGTGAATTAAGATTCAAGATTAGACGGTAAGAATGAGAACCAACAGGACTCCAAGGCTACATCCACACGACTACGTTTTTTAAAACGCATTAATACTCCTAAAACAGAGACGTTTGAAACGGCTGCTGCCGTCGTTTTAGTTTGAAAACTCGCGTTGTAGTCTGGACGGGCAGAAACGGTGACCTTTGAAAACGCTGACACAAACAAAACGTACCAGTGAAGAAGCAAGAAGACAACGAGTGTAACCGCCAAACTGTCACAAACCAACCTCCATAAAGAGACAAAGGTTGAAAATACTGTAAACAATGTGAATTGGCTGCACAATATTCACTCAAATGTAGATTTTTAGGACCTCCTGTTTCTAGAGCATCTAAATAAAGGATTGGCCTTCTTTGTGAAATACTAAGACATGTAAATAGTGTTTTTATCAGTGAACTGTTTCAAGTCTAAAAAAGCTCAGAGCACCTCCCTAAAACTAAGCTTCATCAGTCATGACGTGTCCTTCCCTGATATCGTCACGCCACCATCACCTCATAATAATAAACAACATCAGCCCCGACTACCATTGGTTCATTTCAACATGAATCATAAATTACAAGTGTTGCTGATCTCGTTCACAATGCTAACAGCTAAATTCTTCATTTGATAATGCTACTACTGCCGACATGCGCATCAGGCGAGCTATTATTTGAGCGCTTTGCAACCGGTACGCGAATGCCCCGTGAATGTCATGTGATAGGTGTTTTCAGGCGTGGCGGCATGGATGGAGATTATTTAAGAAACGGCGGTAGAACGCTCCTCTGGACGAAGATTCTTTTAATATATTTTTAAAAAGCCGTTTGAAGACAAAAACGTAGTCGTGTGGGTGTAGCCTGACCCACTGAATGCTGATGAACCTGATGTGTATTAGCTCTCTCTCTCTCTCTCTCTCTCTCTCTCTCTCTCTCTCTCTCTCTCTGTATGTATTAAAGCGTAAAGGAGTGGGAAAATAGCTCTGGATGTGTTTGTGTTCATTGAAATGGAGTCAAAGTGTGTGTAAGTGAATGCTACTGTGAGTAAATGTGTGTAATGTGCATCTCTGAACCCAAGTGCCTGCTTGGCTGGCAACAAAAAGAATGCCCTGGCCTCCGTCCAATGTCAGGTTTAGTCTCTCATACATGGGGGTGTGCAAATGTGCATGCTGGCAGGATGTGCGTACACGGTGCTGTGTAAAGAGGACAATAACAGTCCTTCCAGTGTTTGAGTAGCCTGTTAGCAGCTGGCAGGTCTGAGCCTCAGCCAGACAAAACAACTGATCAATTTTTCATTCAGTGACCGGAGCGGAGGAAGGGGAGGCTGCCATAGACAAAATAACAGGCCGCCGTGGAAGTATACGGAGAAAAGTGCTTGAAAGGGCAAAACAAAAAAAGATCACTTTCCTCTCCATCACCTCTCACGTACGTGAATCCCACAGCGAGCGAGGCCGGTGTCAGATGCGTAATATAATGAGTTCCCGTGACACGACGTGTGAATAATGTCGGTGAGAGCTTGTATACTCACAGCGACGAGGATCTGCGTGCCGCTGTGCACGACCTCGATGTACTGGTAGTCCATGAGGCAGCCCATGACCGTGATGTAGGAGTGGCTCTCCGTGGTGTGGACCCCCGGGGCCTGAGGCATCTCTCTCCTCACGCAGCCCGGCCCGTGTTCGCTCCACCAAGAGTGATGGGCGGAGATGTTGAATGTCAGCAGGTCGCTGTCCTGAAAAGGAGGAAAAAAACTTCTTTACTTGGACTCTATTCATTACTTATGATGTACATCCATGTATTCTTTATGAGGAAAACCTAGGGCTGGTGATGTTGTACAAGAGGCAGAGGGCTTTTCTTTGGACACTTAAGATTAGAGATCGCTACGATAAACAACAATACATTAAACATTATGTTTTATACATACACAATGTGTTTCATGTGCGCTATACCTTTAAACTGTATGATAAATAAACTGTATGAAAAACTGCCTTCATATGCAGTATTTGTAGGCAAAGGGAGACAATTTTGGTATTTGGAGCATTCTGGTTTCTGTTTGTAGTCCAAGTAGAATTGACCAATCAAGTTGGAGCAGGCTTTGGTTGAATGCAGGTAAACAGTTCATATTGGAGAGCAAAATGAAAAGGGAGGAACGCATTGGCTGAAATGTAATCTTGGAACCCACCGGCTATCATCTATCATGGTGTAGCTTTTTGTTGGTCTATAATTAGCTCGCAAACTGGCTACTTGTGAAACAATCCGGTCATACAAGTCGTCTCTCGACTCCAGTCTCGCATCTCAACTTGTTAAGTCTGGCTTAGTCTGCATTTAGGAACAGCAGTGCTTTGAGCTAAATGCTAACATCAGCATGCTAACATGCTCAAAGTCCATCCAATAGTTTAACTGAAACACTGTCACCATAAACCACAAACTACAGGTAAAAGTCAGGAGATCCAAGTCATTAGGATTCATCCTCTTGGGACCATGACTGGATGACATTTCATGGCAATCCGTCTGATGGTTGTTGAGATATTTCCATCTGGATCAAAGTGATAGACCGACCCCTGTTGCCATCCCTAGATGACATGCAGTAGCATGAATAAAAACACATTTTCTTACTTACCATGAGCTGTGTCTAGACATGTAGGTATTTTTGGTTTTATTTGCCCCTTTGGTAAACCTGCAGTCACCCCTTATGTTTGAGCTGAAAGGAATTGTATTGATTGTGCTTAAAGCTTTGAAAAAGTCAAAACAGCAATGTTTCTTTGCAGGAACAATGTGTCGCTTCCTTAGGATAATCCAAGGACTTCAAAGTCAACAGTTTTCTTTGGGACTACTTCCTAGTGAATGAATAAGCCCTCTGAAAACTGTTGACACTGTGTTTTGTGGTTCATCCAGAGCAACAGGGACATTGTTTCAGGAGAGAGATTTTGCTGTTGAGTATGTTTTTTTAAGTATGTTTTTTTTGTCTATCCTCCTCAACTGTATTGTGGTGGAGGCAGAACTTTCGAGAACCAGGGCAAATAAAACTAAAAACATCTGCATGGCGAGACACCAACAGAGGTATATAATAGACTGGGGTGAACCAGCCTTTTAATAGTCGTACCCATAGACTGTATATAAGAAGTGGATGTAACCCATTGTTTTGTGGACTACAGTTTTGAAGCCTTAAGTTCGGCAATGGAAGTTACAGTATTTGGATTGGACCGTGGAGGAGTGACGTAGAGACGGCTCTGGTAGCGGCCTGTCAATCACGGTGTAGCCCCGCCCTAAAGCATCCCCTGCTTTAT